GGCTAAGTTTTTGTATTTTTAGTAGAGACGGGGTTTCACTGTGTTAGCCAGGATGGTCTCGATCTCCTGACCTCGTGATCCGCCCGTCTCGGCCTCCCAATATTTTTTTTTTTTTTTGAGATGAGTTTCACTCTTATTGCCCAGGCTGAAGTGCAATGGCGCAATCTCTGCTCACTAAAACCTCCGCCTCCCAAGTTCAAGTGATTTTCCTGCCTCAGCCTCCTAAGTAGCTGGGATTACAGGCACCCTCCACTATGCCCAGCTAATTTTTGTATTTTTAGTAGAGATGGGGTTTCACCATGTTAGTCAGGCTGGTCTCAAACTCCTGACCTCATGATCCACCCATCTTGGTCTCCCAAGGTGCTGGGATTACCACTGCATCCAACCTACCCTGTCTCTATTAAAAATGCAAAAATTAACCAGGTGTCGTGGTACACGCCTGTAGTCCCAGCCACTTGGGGGGCTGCGGCAGGAGTGCCGCTGCACCCCAGCCTGGGTGACAGAGCAAGACTCTGTCTTAAAAAGAAAAAGAAATCCAGCTGGGCGCGGTGGCTCATGCCACCCAGTATTTTGGGAGGCTGAGGTGGGTGGATCACGAGGTCAGGCATTTGAGACCAGCCTGGCCAACATGGCGAAACCCCATCTCTACTAAAAATACAAAAATTAACCAGGCATAGAGGTGGGCGCCTGTAGACCCAGCTACTCGGGATGCCGAGTCAGGAGAATCCCTTGAACCTGGGAGGCAGAGGTTGCAGTGAGCCGAGATCCCGAGACTTTCACAGCCTTGGCAACAAAGTGAGACTCAGTCTCAAAAAAAAAAAAAAAAAAAGAAGGAAAGAAAGAAATCCAGATTGTTCTCTGGGAGTGGTCACAGGGGCTTGCCAGACCCCTGCCCAAGCAGTCTGGGAAAGGCCCTCCATTATCCCAGGACCCGGAAGTGTCAGATATCTCGACTGGCATATATGGCATGCTGTGTGACCCCAGGCACACCCTCTGCCCTCTCTGGGCTGGGTCTCTGAGCCCCCACAACTATGTAGAGCTCAGGCTGTCGGTCCCAGACCCTCAGCTCTGGCTTAACTTGCTAAATTTAACCTCCAGGGCTAATTTTAATCCCCAGCCGGAATTGGGACTGTTCCCACGGCTGGGATGTGTTGCCCCCACCCTGATGGGTCCCTGGGGGGTGGAGGGGGGCCTTGGTCCAGAGGTCCCAGTGCCAAGATGACTCCGGAAATGCCCCTGATGCCCGGGGTCCCATGAGAGCAGTGGCAGGGCTGGGGCTTAGGCCTGAGTCTCTTAAGCATGGAAGACCTGACTCGAGCCCCTTCTCACTCCATCTGTCCCCATTTTAGACATAGACACCACGGCTAGGGCAGAGGTCATGCGATGGGGGAGAACTGGGCAGTCTCTGTCTGCACTGAGACCCTCAGAGCTGAGACAGGAAGTGAGTTCCAGGCAGAAGGAACAGCAGGTGCCAGGGCCCTGAGGAGGGATAAGAAACAGCTATGAGGGGCCGGGCGCGGTGGCTCAAGCCTGTAATCCTAGCACTTTGGGAGGCCGAGACGGGCGGATCACGAGGTCAGGAGATCGAGACCATCCTGGCTGACACAGTGAAACCCCGACTGTACT